TGACTGTTGAGTTTTGTTCTCTCTTTGTCTTTACCTTTTACTTTCTTTTGTCTCTCCCTTACCTACACATTCTTTTCCTTGGTATCTTAGGTAGCCTTAAAATTTGAGCATAGAAATAGTAAAGGGTGTAACTATGGACCACCAGCTGAGTGGCTAGTATACAAGTGAGCATGCCTCTATCTCTCATGTTTTGGTATTGTTTTTAAATTTTATTTGTGTATCCATAATTTACTTTGTGTTGCTTGTACAGCACTCTTGGTGGCAGCCATGGTGTGCCGCGAGTACACTTTAAAGGCCAGCAAGGCGACTATTATATCATGGTATGCAGTCTTTTTTTGGCTTACTTGTTTTGAGTCTTGTTAGCCATACTATAATGTTTTGGGAGTCATACGACATGCTAGTTCATGAATAGCTTTTTGATTTTGACTGAAAACTTTTATGCTGCAGGTTATGGATATGTTGGGGCCAAGCTTGTGGGATGTTTGGAATAATAACTCTCATACGTAAGTTTCAGTTACAAAATTGACTCCTAATTTAGAAAATAGTTTAATTATTATCTTACAGATTTCATGAATTTTCAGTTTCATAATTTAGTTGTCTTCTGAATTTTAGAATGACCACTGAAATGGTTGCATGCATTGCCATTGAAGCAATATCAATATTGGAGAAGATGCATTTTCGAGGGTAAGATTTTTTGTTACAAATCAATGCAGATTTGTTATCATTGTCGTTGTTTATCTCTCTCTCTCTCTCTCTCTCTCTCTCTCTCTCTAGCCCTCGCATATCATTTCACTTTGGTACTTTGGTCTGGAACATTATTATATCCAGAAAAAACCTTTCGGCTATGTAATCGATTTCTTTATAGAAGTTTATATGTGGGAAGTCTTAATGTGAAAGAATAAGTATGCCTATGATTCTTCTGTCTGATAGCTTGATATCATATTTAGGCTTTTCAACAATACGAGAGCACATGGCATGCACAATTTACTCTTTTCCTCTACATCATACAATTTTATTGTTTAGTTTATTAAGACATTAGGTAGCTAGTTATATAGAAAGCTTGTATGGACAATATGGTCTGTTTGGAGTTTTGATTTAGAAATTGTTTGGGACAGTTGAAGTAGTTTTGGGGAATAGTCACTGTATTTGTGTTTTGGCTATCTTATTAAATTGAATGTGTTTAGGATTAGTTCTTCAGATGTTTTTGCAGTTTGTTGAAAGCCATATTAAAAATGATTTTTAAGCTATGCTACCACATCTATTTTCAGGTATGTACATGGGGATGTAAAGCCTGAGAATTTTCTGCTTGGCCCACCTGGGACTTCTGACGAGAAAAAGTTGTTTTTAGTTGATCTTGGACTAGGTATTTTGTGAATCTCAGTTTCCTTAATGTTAAGTAGTATAGTGGTTCTCAGTAAGTTATCATATTATAACTTGTTTTGGGTTTATCAGCAACTAGATGGAGAGAAACTACAACTGGTCGGCATGTAGAATATGACCAGAGGCCAGATGTTTTCAGGTATAAGCATGGTTTCCTATCTAGTTTTCTTGGATAGTTTGAATGCTGCTTTCTTTTTGCCTTCCTCTTCTTTATGCTCCCTTGTTCAAGCTTTCTGCTACTTAGTTCTGAACTTTTTTTGGTCCGACAGAGGAACAGTGCGTTATGCTAGCGTGCATGCTCATTTAGGGAGAACGGGTAGTAGGAGAGATGATCTCGAGTCTCTAGCTTACACCCTTGTATTCCTTCTTCGCGGTCGTCTGCCTTGGCAAGGATACCAGGTTTGCCCTTTCTTTCTTAGCTTAAATAAAAATTTCTGTCTTGCCTACCTTGCTTTTATTTTACTTTTAGCATGGTGGTTCTTTCAGGGAGAGAATAAAGGGTTTCTTGTTTGCAAGAAGAAGATGGCAACATCTCCAGAGCTATTGTGTTCCTTCTCTCCACAGCCTTTTAGACAGTTTGTGGAATATGTGGTGAACTTGAAGTTTGATGAAGAACCTAATTATGCAAAATATATATCACTCTTTGACGGGATTGTTGGTCCAAATCCTGATATCAGGCCAATAAACACAGAGGGTGCACAGAAGGTATGTATCATCTTCTCTCCTTTTGTTGATGATGCTTACCCTTGAGCAGTAGTTTATGTACTTACATTTTTAGAAGAAGGATTGTGCATCTAATATATGCTCCATGTATTGTGAAGCTTATTAATCTGGCTGGTCATAAGAGAGGAAGATTGACAATGGAGGAAGATGATGAACAACCAAAGAAGAGGATTCGAATAGGTGTGCCAGCAACACAATGGATTAGTGTCTATAATGCTCGCAGACCAATGAAGCAAAGGTATTTGTATGACTCAAGCAGTGAATCATTTACTTATTTGGTGATGGTTTTGGGGACTTCTCTTCTTGATAATATAATAGATATACCCTGTGTATCTTGCTTTCTATTTTTATAGTTAAATTGTTGTCTTCTTGTCGTCATATTGTTTAAACTGTTTCTTCTCATGTTTCTATAGGTATCACTATAATGTGGCTGATACAAGGCTTGCTCAGCATATTGAGAAGGGGAACGAGGATGGGTTATATATTAGCAGTGTGGCCTCTTCTCAAGATTTGTGGGCCTTAATTATGGATGCAGGCACTGATTTCACTTCCCAAGTTTACGAACTCTCACCATGTTCTCTTCACAAGGTACATGCATATGCTTTTTAATCAGCCTGAAGTGATTGTCTTCATTGGCATACTGACTTTGTTTTTACGAGAGTTTGTATGTTCACTTTGTTATTTTATTGCTAACTTTTAATAAACTGTTTGTATGTAACATTCCTTTAATTCAGATTGTAATGTTTCATGAATTTTTTGGATGTGTTTGAAGGAATGGATAATGGAGCAGTGGGAGAATAACTATTACATCAGTGCGATAGCTGGAGCTACTAATGGGAGTTCATTAGTAGTAATGTCCAAGGGTTAGTATAGTGTTTTGGGGTTTTCATGGACATTTAAACTGGAAAGGGTGTGTTTTCTTTTTGATTTTTTGAATTCTTTTATTTGTTACTGATGTCAATTGTTCGGTCCAGGTACACCATTTACGCAGCAGTCATACAAAGTAAGCGATACATTTCCTTTCAAGTGGATTAACAAAAAGTGGAGGGAGGGTTTTTATGTTACTGCAATGGCCACTTCAGGAAGTAGATGGGCAGTTGTTATGTCTCGTGGTGCAGGTTATTCGGAGCAGGTAATCTTGGATGAAAAAGCACATTTCTTTCTCTTACTTGTCTTTCCAATTGCCTATGGTGGTTAGCACTTTTGATTTTATAGTAGGTAGTGAGTAATTGGAGAAGCATTTTGGCCTAATGAATTAGTGAACTGTACAGAACTATTTATTTAACAGGGCAGACCATATTTTGTTTTTCAGGTTGTTGAACTAGATTTCCTTTATCCCAGCGAAGGTATTCATCGGCGGTGGGACTCTGGATATCGTATAACAGCAACTGCAGCAACGTGGGATCAGGCTGCATTTGTTCTTAGTGTGCCAAGGAGGAAGCCTCAAGACGAAACACAAGAGACTCTTCGTACTTCTGCTTTTCCTAGTACACATGTCAAGGTAACATATATTTATCATTTTGTTTTGTCAAGTGCCTTTTCTTTTCCGTCTTTCAATATGTTGGCGTAAGAGTAACTCAAATCCGGGTATTACAGGAGAAGTGGGCGAAGAATCTCTATATTGCATCTATGTGTTATGGACGAACAGTTTCTTAAGCTGCCGAGAATTGTTTGGGATGCTTCATAAACCATCTGGTATTGCTCTGATAGCTCTTCTGATTCCCTCTCTCGACTGGGGTGTCGTAACACCCACCATTGACAAAATTTTGATGACTTGAAGATGCTCTAGTTAATTGTAATTATAGTAACTTTTAGTGGAAACCTATTGTTCGTCTCTGTGTGGGAACTGTCACTTGATGTCAATGATAAATTAAAAGCTCATTTTCTTGCAAAAAAGGAGCATATTGCCTATTTCTACTCCGAGGACCTTCACGTCAGAAATATTCGTATATGCTTTTAACCACAACTCGAACGAACCAATCTGGCATCCTTGTCAAACGATCGCTTACCTTCAAGTTTGGAATATTGTGATGTTCTTTGGCACGTGACTAGTTTTGTGAGCGAAATTGAAACTTGGGAGTATTTATATGTAATATATATAATCACTTCAACTGCAAGGCTTTTGATGAGGAACAAAACAAGAAGAAACAATCTGCTCTACAAAACAAAACAACCGGGCTTTGAAACTTTTTTTTCCCCGAATATATTAACTTCTACAAGACCAGAAAGAAGAGAAATAAATGAACTCATACTAAGATTGAATGAAACATCAATTAAGACAATGTTCTAGTAAATTAGTCGAAATGAAATATCCTTTTTAAGAAGGTGCTGCACTCCCGCCACTCTAGCTTTAGGTTTGAAGAAGTTGGTCAATTTCTTCTTTTACTGTTGGAAGCAGTTGGTCAATTTCAAACAAGGAAAGCTACTCTTACCGAAACGCGTCTGGCCAACATTGAAAGCTGCTCCTTAGGCCTCTATATGGATTTGGGCTGAGTTGGGGGTCGGCGATTGCAAATTGATTTGATTTACAGAGGAAAGAAAGAAGGATAGAGTGCAGATATGACAAACAAAATTGCAA